ATGGGGACAAAGCAGAAACCCATCTCCGTGTGGAGCAGGCAGCCAGCCACGGGAAAGGTAAAATCCATGTCTCTGTTTCCCAATGATCTAAAGTTTCAAGGCATGTCAGAAGGAGTGGGGTTAATATATGCCCCATCTGAAGGCTGAGCTTTTTGACCCATATGTAGATTATACCCACAGAGGGGTGAAACTGGTGCAAAGACTGCAGTTCATGTACACCAGACATTTCGAATTTGTCTGTTCTCTTCAGTGGAGGAAGGCCCAAGGGTAGGTTAAAATATATGTTTCCCTTAAGCTGTGCTGTTTGTCTGCCTTGCCAGCAAGAGGACAGCTGTAGTCCAGCGCTAGCTACATTCCCTATGACTTTGCATGATACTGTATCAGGCTCCTCTAGAAAGAAGCTTGGGTTAATTTCTGTCTTACACTGGCTATGCAAAACATACAGCTTCATATAAAGTACAGTGATACATGCTAGTGAGCAAGCCCAGGAATACCTGGGTCCTTCCCATCTGCAGACAGGTGTGCATATGGACCCACGCCAAGAGGTGGTGTCAGCACAAGCTTTCTTCAACATAACGCACCACAACTTCCACAAAGCCTAGAGCTCTCTATATAGGTGCCTTTAGGCTTGCACCAAACCCAGGTCCCTGCCTGTGGTCTAAACATTTCCTCTAAACTTTGTTTAATGGCTCATCACCTGATGATTTCCCTCAATGGAGATTTAATGTTGGTTGTCACTGCTTGGGTGGGGCCTCATCACAACATACAGTTGTGCAGCACAGCTGGGAACGGGAAATCCCCTGCACTAACTTCCTTCCCACTTTTCACTGAACAGACGGAAACATTTTTCCTTTTCTCTGAACAGAGGAGAGGCAGGACACAATGTGAATCTGTTACTGTTCTGCCTTTTCGTGAATGGCAGGATGCTGATCCCTCTCCTAGTAAATATTCCTGTGGCCTGATCCTGCAAGGCACTAGGCAATCCCTGCTCTTCTCCACCCGCCCCCCTCTCAGTCCTGTAAGGGTTTAAGAATAAGCACTTACATCAGTGGACTTGCTTGGTGATCAAAGTTAATGTAAGACTATACTTACATGAGCACGCAGTGCTAAGCAAGGTTCAGACCGGGATGCTGCTTTGCCCTTCTGCCCAGAAACCTGCAGGACTTCCCCATCCGTGCTCAAGATTTATATGGCTTGCTTTTCTCTTCCTAAATCTCTTCTAACAAAGCTTTGTTCAAAGATGATTAACAGATGTTGTCATTAAAAAGTTGATACTTGCCAACAAATAACACATGGGTCTGCTTGAGAAACTGCTGTTTCCACAGCTTTCCCCAAGAAGAGATACTTGCGGTAATTGGTGAGGCCTGTGAGAACATGACATTTTAAAGTGTCTTCTACCATGCATAATTTCCTAAGAGAACGCTGGTTTCCTGAGAATTTATCTATCTTGTTTGTATGAAATCATTTGGATAAACACGCATAACACAGAATAGATAATTAAGCCCGTTATGATTAAAGGAGTAAGTGGTGATCTTTTTAGATAATGATGAATTTGGCGAGCAAAGACTTATTTGTAACAAAAGTAAAAAAAACAGCACTAAATAATAGATAGCTATGTATCTTAATTGAAGACATAAAATAAAAAAATTAACTGATATGCAGAAATGATTCTCAAAGGTTAGAAGGTGCCAAACAAAAGGGCAGGATTTTACTATCCATTGCAAGATGAGCTGAAATATACAGACAGCAAACCCCAATCAGAAAAAAATCAGGGCTAAAGCATATGTACAACGCACCTGGCTGGAATATACAAGCACAGAACCACTTCTGTGTTTACCTACCCTGTATACATTGAAATCTAAAACTTAGGAGCCAGGCCTTCTGTTAACAATTTAGAAAAGCAAACTGGGGAGATGGCAATGTACCCTGTCCAGGGGGATCTTTTCATAGTTATGAACAGAAGATGTTTTGAAGATGGTAACCTAGATATTGATGAAACTCCTGGCAATTTATTGTTAATCAAAAGGTAATTTTTTTTTCTGGGAGGTGGAAAGGAATGAGCATTCAGTAGGTTTTCAGAAACTATTTAAAAGCAATCTGAGTCTTTTGCAATGCTCAAAGCAGGTCTCTCAACACATAAACTGTAAATATTATTTTCATATAGGTTTTAGATAAATGACAGGTGTAATACATTTTTACTACATTCTAAATTCAGCATTTTAGAGGTTGACATTGAAATCCATTCCTCTTTTCTCTTTTCCATGGACCTGTGCTAAAAGCATGACTGCTCTGCCAAAAAGTCTGTTTTGAATGGCTTTTATTCTTTTTTTATTCTTTTTGTTCTACTGTATGACTGCACACTACAACCTGCACTGATGAGATCGGTGTCATTTTATAGCTATCATTTATGTCTTATCCAAACCTGTCATAGTAAGTAACAATATTCCCACTAACTTTACTAAGCTTCAAATCAGGGTTTTATTTGGGATTTAGCTTTAGCTTCAATTCATGTCTCAGTTCACTATGTACTTCAAGCAAGCAAAGAATAATCAATGTTGTCATGTTCCACTTCTACAAAACAATGGTCAGATGTACTTGACAGGTTTTAAGTTTAGGAAATATAACAAATTCACAGCCTGTACAATTAAAAACACCATCTTACAGACATGCAGCAGGAGGAAATTCAACTAATCTGATGTTTATTTCTTTAACATTCTATTAAAGCAAAGAAGCTCTATAATGAGATTACTCCATTTTATCTCTTAATTGTATCCAGATATGCAAAACAGATTTACTGCTAGTGGCTTGTATATAGTACAATATTTCAAAGCTAATTATGAAACAACATTACTATTGTCACACAATGAAATACTTATTCTTACTGTTATGAATCAAGACCATTTTCTAAAATTAATTGTAATTACCTTTTTAATTGGATATAAACCCTACTAAATTCTGAAACAGCTAGTTATATAAATATAACTCTTTTAAATCCAGGATGATATCAACATAAAATATTTTAATTAAATAGACTGCAAAAAAAAGGGGAAAAGAGACATTAAGTGCTTTTCCATTATTAAAGCCAGCTGTAAGTCAAGTCTTGAAAGTATTCAAGTTTTTATTTTTGAACACCTGAAATCTGCCATTGTCCATGTAAGCATGCATACATATCCTCGCAAAACAGTGTATTAATAGTTTAACTGTTCACTGAAGAGTAGTTAGCACCTGGCTTTTGTTTTTATTATTCCACATAGAGAGGAAAGCATATTAAAGTATTTACCCTCACAAATCCCCAGGGCCCAAAATATCTAGCAGTCTTTTCATTGCTTATGTATATAATACAATAAACAATAAAAAAAAAGGTTAAGAAAATAGTTTTAAAATAACACTGTGTCAAAGTTCTTCTGCTCAAAAACATTGGTGAGTAGATGGTGAAAATCTGTACTTCATCTGTTAGTCGCAATTATTTAATAATTTTCAAAAAATACTGCCCCCATGTTATAATACCGCATGTATCTTGATCATACGGCTGGTCAACGCAAATGAAATTTCAGGTATTTATAATCTGGTACTGCAAACGTAATCTAACTTTTTGCACACATTTGAAAATACATGTTTAAACTCGTTTTTCCTGAACAAATATTCATAACAGGAACAACTGAAGTCTGACTACAGACTAATCACAGCTTGTTTGCAAGCCTTACTTGAATATGGGATACCTTTTCCCACTCTCCACTTAGTGGTAAAGGGACAAGGAAGAGGCACTTGTTTATTTCAGCTGAATGAAGCAGCAGTTTAAAACTTACCTGAGTTCCAGCCATCTTAACGAGCATTATTTTTCAACACTATTATACCTGTATTTCATATACTTGCACATCCAAACCAAATTATATTTACACACACTATGGTAATTAAAGCAGTTACATCTTGATGAGCTGAAACAGAACTTCCAGATAAGATAAACCAGTAATATCAAGTATTTAGAAGGAAACATCTTACTTCTTATTGACTTACTATAGTAAGGACTTAACTATGTATTAAATTGCCAATATTTTGGTGGAAGTTAAGTTAGATTCTGATGCTCATTCTACATTTGATGACATATTATCCAAATAATTTCATGAAGAAATATTGCAGAATGCATATCTGAGACTATCAAGAAATTTTATTTAACCAGCAGCTCACCACTAGAAAAAAACCAATACTTCATGTGTTTTTTCAATAATATATACTTTCAGCCAACACTGTTTGGATCATCCTTCAGTATCATTATGCAACCAATAAATATTTACATTAACACTTAGCACGGTCTATAAGGACATTAATTTTCTATTTCTTTGAATAGCCCACATTCTCTAGGAAGGCTCTTCCAGTATTTCTGTGATCTAGATTTCATTGCAGATATTTTATTGACTCTAATCATAGAATCATAGAATGTTTTGGGTTGGAAGGCACCTTAAAGACCATCTAGTTCCAGAGCCCCTGCCATGCGCAGGGACACCTTCCACTAGACCAGGTTGCTCAAAGCCCCATCCAACCTGGCCTTGGACACTTCCAGGGATGGGGCATCCACAACCTCTCTGGGCAACATGTTCCAGCGCCTCACCACCCTCACAGGGAAGAATTTCTTCCTTACATCTAATCTAAATCTACCCTCTTTCAGTTTATAGCCATTACCTCTTGTCCTGTCACTACATGCCCTTGTAAAAAGTCCCTCTCCAGCTTTCTTGTAGGCCCGCTTTAGGTACTGGAAGGCTGCTAGAAGGTCTCCCCAGAGCAAATTTAAGTCTTTTATCTGCATGCCAAGTGTTAAATTATATTGGGTTACTGTCTGTACCATTCTATTTTTACTGCAGCTCTTCACAGATTAAGATTTGAATCCTTTGAATTTAGTAGGATTTTGACAGTAATTCAAGCGGTGCAAGTCTTAGCTCTGTCCACCTAATTGTGACATTTATGAATTTCTAAGCTCTGTATGTGCCTATAGAAACTGTATTTACCTGCTGTGTGAATCCTGTCACCGGATCCTTGACAGCCATCCTCATCATCACAATCCCCGCTTGACTCCATCTCTTCACTTCTTCCACCCCCGCTGCCAGCATCTGGGGAAGCCCATCTTTCCAGTTTTAATTTTGCCTTCTCAGCATCCAGCTAAAATGGAAAAAAACAACAATTATCAGAATATTTACACAGTTCCTACCTCTGGTGACCAAGATGGGTTTATAAAACAACAAGCACTTTCTCATTCACTTTCAAGAACGGCTCCTCAAGTTGGAGTTTTTTTCTGGCAGTGACATCCAAATATTTTGGAATAACAGACTATACCATCAAATTTTCTCCACCACAGATGACCAGGGACACTTATCATCAAACTTTTAATTGAAAACACCACATCTACTAATATCTTCACAGGGAGCTCTGGTCCTGCAGCTTTTCATCTTGCAAACCACAGTTTGGAGATCACTGGTTAATGATGGTACAATCTGCCAGGTGTCTGAGTAATTTTTTTGCGCTATTTACAATCAAAGACCACAATATACTTGACAATCTTTTAAAAGTTGAGGGTATTTGCTACTTTTCATTATGGGCTTGGTCATTTGGAAACCTTAGCCCCTGGGTATGATTTTTAAGACGGTGTCATTTAAGATGCCTGTACCAACTGCAAGTTGTTAATTAAATTTCACTTGAAATATATTTCTTGGACTGAGTACAGAATAAGAAAGCCTCTTCTAAAATAAATCTGAATTTATCATACAAAGTCACATGTGCTATAACAACATATTTACTCCAAACTCATCTGTTTGACCTTTAGATGACTTTCTGCTTCTATCACCATGAACAGTTGCCTACTACTAGTGCTGTGGTAGTTACAAAAAATGAAAAATACCATTTCATTTTCAGTGAATCTAAACCCAGCCTATCCAGGGAACAAGAACAGCACTATTTGGGAAGAAATGAAGTAACTGGCTTAGACTAATACATTCTGTTATAAGGCATTCGTCAAGGAAGTATGATTCAGGAGCTTGAACCTGTCCCCCACACCTGAGAGGAGCACCTACTCAGCTACATGGCACCTCTCCTGTTGGAGCTGTAACATTTTTGTACAACATTTCAGAACCAGGGTGCTCCCTGTTCCTCGGAGGCCACCCTCCTCAACAGCCTGTATTTGTTGTTGCTAGTGCAAAGCATGCTTCAGGGTATTAGAGAAGGTGGGACAGCTTCGGCAGAGAAAAACCCCAACAGCTCAGCTTCCCCTACAGCCCAGGGATAGGGAAATACCCTGACTCAGAGTGGATTTTTTCACAACCTGGCTAAGTTGACCTGGTTACTATCGAGTTTCCATTCCCCCCACCTATCACCCCCATTTTGTGAGTGACTACCAATTTCTTTTCCAAATCTTGTTGGAAAATTACATTGGGAGGGTGTTGTTTTTAAGTGATGGGAAGAGTCATTCCAGTATTTCTGATCGCTTCCTTCATGTTGCTGAAACTCAACTTACAACGCATATGAACATTGTTTTGAAAGGCAGCAGCTTGTTTGTCTCCTTTTCAGAGTTATGAAAACCTTGTTCATGTTAGCTCTGCTTATATGGTATGACAAGGTATGATTAGGACCTGTTTTTCTAGTTATGTGGAAATATTTTAACCAAATGGAAAGACTTTGTAATGCTTCTCAAAGTCAGTCAGATGCTGGATCTATCCAATACCCTTCATCACAAGTATCTTCCCCCCAAAGTATTCCAGATCCATTTCAGGCTTTTTGATCTGCTTTATCACAGAGGACTCTGATTATTCTTGGTACTGAGGAAAATGTATTTTGAAATGTAGCTACTTTGAAGATTCAAACACATTTCACACTAAAAAGGAGGTGGGCTGGGAGCTGGGGGAGGAACTGGAGCACAGGGCTAATACAGCTGTATTAACTGGGTTGAAAGGATGATGATGGATGCAGCAATTTCTCTGTAGTGGGAAGCTTTGTGTGATAGTCTCCTTTTTCTTCAGATACTGTGAGCTGCCATCCTCCACTCCGGGGCTGACAAATGCTTGGATCAGTGCAGCAGAGATCCTGTTCTACGGAACAACAGATGCCAACTTCTATATGGCAGAACTCAGGAAATTTTTCACCCTTTCACTGAAAAGATCTGTTTGCTCATTCTGAAGACATAAATAACTTCACACTGCAGTGGGAAGATCAGTAAGTGGGAGGAGAGGGTATGGAGTCTAGTGGGGAAGCACATTAAACACTCTCTAATTGTTACTGCATGACTGTTTTCTATAAACAAATTGCTTAATGTTGAGGCTCGTTATTCACAGGCGTAAAGACTGATGTCATGGCAATACAAAACAACATTTTGTTAAACAATTGGAAAAATTTGCCTGTGAGGGAGCAAGATAACTCAGTTCTTTCACAGATGTGTTGTGTCCTGACCATATTAGAGAAGACTCCTTCATTCTTAGTTATAATCCTTCAGAATGAAAAGAAATGGCTAAGTGGTGAACAGAATGGATGCAAAATTTAATAAAAGCTTTTAATGACTGTTTGCCAGTCAAAGCAGAAATGTTTACTGCCTGTTAAGGTACTCCTTCTTTTAAAAAATTTTATTTCATTCAGTGCCCATGGCTCAATCCTGACCTCTGCTCAAAACAAGTAAACACTTGAATCAACTATGCACCACCTTCTTGGACAAAGACCAAGAAACAAGCTCAGCTTTTCAACATGGTGCACTGCAGCATTTTACAGACTTCTGGGTTCTTAGTGTCTTCACTACAAAAAGAGATTAGCTGTAGCTCGGCTCTGCATCTCCTGCCCATATCAATGAAGGTATACCCAGCTCTTTCTTGGCTTGCCAGTAGAGATGGCCATCAAATTACACAGAACCCTTATACACAAGTTCAACATTACCACTTAAAGCCAACTCAGGTGCGACCTACCAACCCTTTTCACCTTGTATACCCTTTCCCAACCTCTTCCAATGACTTTTCGTCTGTGGCTACCATTCACCTAGAACGATGGACCAGAGACCAACTTTGTGTAGAGATAATGGCTTATCTATAAATAAACGCTTTCCAGGAGATGAAATAGTGTAGCCACTTTAGTGAGGAGATCCACCCACACCGTGCAGCCCTGTTAGGAAGGCAATGTCACCGTTGCATACTGACTTGTGATCTAATCCCTTTAAAATTTTGAAGGAACACTTGTCCTTTGGCTACTGCCACATGACTTCAGTGAGATCACTGTTGCAGTGTGATAGCAAAGCACACGCCAGCATTTCTCCATCTCCTTTTTTCATAGTATCATTGAAACCTTTCTCGAAGGCCTGAGACTGCACTGAAATAGCACAGACTGCATCAGGATGAACTAGGATGGTGGAGCTTTAGAAGATCATAATGAAAGACATTAACCTTCACTTCTTATTAAGCTCTGCTAGGTTCAGATGATGGGTGTGGACAGGGAATGCCTGTAATGCTTTGTGGCTAGGGGACTGAGAGGTCTCCAACAGAGGAGCTGGAGGTCATACAAAGGTTCAAGGCATCTTCAGAGGCAGCCATGATCTGTTAAAAAGCCTGAACAATTCTCCTAGCTGCTGCCACCAATCACTAAAACCTTCTGCTTCCTCACAGACAGCTGTAGAGAGAAACACAGCTCTTTGCCCATATTTAACACTGGAGATCAGAGATTGGAGTCAGTCATGGCATTTCTATTATTGCTTAAACCCTACTCTTATACAAGCCTTTTTTGCTGACTTATGCTCTGCCTGCTGATGCATAATCCCATCTAGCGATCTCTGGCAACTCTGCACAATAGTTCCAGCCTGGGAGTGTAGTCTCTTGATGCTGAGAATTGATGTTTCGGTTAAACAATCGCAATGGATTTCAGGCTGGGCACTGGTGCTTATACCTTTACCTTCACAAAAGAGAAGGTATCTGCTGCCTAAGATTCTAGAAAATACTGGAATCTTAACAGCTTAAACATTAAATCTTCAAGTTTTTGCCACATCTTTTTTTTTTTTTCCCTCATGAAAAGGTTATATAAATAGATCAATAAGATTTGTACAGCCCAACTGAAAACCGACTCAAATCAGGAATTTTCCCAACTGCAATAGGCTTTGGATCAGGTTCACAAACATCTAAAGGGTTTTTGAGAAACTATACAGTCTTTCTATGGGAAAGCTTTAGTATCTGTATCTGATTCAGCTGAAAGGTAAAAATCACGTATTACTATTCAGCTCTGAGTCAGATACTGATGACTATCGTCATGCATTTTATTTATTCCAGCAAAAGTACCAACACTAGGTGACATTAAAAAAAAAAGTTCTGCTGATGTATGGTTTTATGGAGAAGGAAGAAGTCATATGAGAATGGTTGCTGTCTTTCTCCCCTATTAATACTTGATGATGTAGCACACACCTTCTCGGTCACATAAAAGAGTCCTTCAGACTTCAGAGGCTTCAAAGAGCACGTGACACACAACCCCTGAGCTTTCTATGATGACTCTAACCATAATTCTCACTCTGACCACAGGTGTGTTAGAATATAAATTTATTCTCATGGTTTTTCATGAAGGCATGTCCCAGTTGAATACTTCCACACATTAATTAAGTAATAACTGTTTAGGTCTGTGAAAACTATTTGATAAAAGTATCAATTTCAATCCATTTTATTGATTAGTCTATTTTCTGAGGTGTCATATATGCATGTATATCTGAGGGGATGATTCCAAGCTGTAGGATAATAAACTAATTTAATCAGAAAATAAGTTTTTAAATTATATTTTGCACCACAGTTTCAGACTTTTCAGGTCAGTGAACACAACAATGAAAATCTAAGAGAATACACTTTTTGAATAAAGCACTTAAAAGTTGTATGCTTGGAATATTCAGAGACAAATCCATATAATAATTGTTTCCCGAGGGATTTGTTAATTAGTTTTCTATATGACAGATTTCAGTGTGAATGCTTTTCCTCTCTGAAAAGACAGCTTTGGGGTGAAATCTGACTTCTGTCCACTCGTCCTGTGAGCACACACTTGCTGGTGTTTTCACAGTGATCAAAAAATGGCTGATTATACGCTGCATTTAGAAATTGTAAGCTAAGCATGATCTTTTCTCAAAGTACGTACAAGTAGCTGCCTTTTTAAAAGTGCTTTAGTGA